TTTTTCAACAAAAAAATATAGGAAAAGTTTTCAATTTTGACGGAAAAGATTTTGGACTTGGTCGGAGCGGCCCTGCCGAGCGCTCCTTGCTGAGGTGTGCTGAGATTTGCTGAGATGTGCTGAGGTGCGCTGAGGCTGCGGAGTGACGGCTCCTGGCCCAGGTATACCCAGGTAACGCCTGCCTGCCAGCCGCGGCTCACCGGTGTCACACCTAGGCCGCGGCCCACCAGGCGCTCAGACAGCGGCGGGAGGTGGCCCCCGGGGGAAGGGGGTGGGGGCGTCTAGCCTTAGGGGTGGCGCGGGCGCGGGCCTGGGGGTGGCGCGTTGCGGAGCTCCGCCTAGGCGGCGCCGCAGCTCTGGAGGCCGGGTGCGGCCCCGGGTGCTGCGATGCTACAAGGCTGGACACGGCGTCTGTGCCCATTGAGTGCACGAGCCGGCACAATAAGTCTTCTGAAACCAAGTGTTCAAAACGACCCGGGGACCCGTTCCAACTCGGGTGCGCAAGCGGGCGCCGTGGCCGACGACAGTCTCGCCACCAAGGAGCGTGGTGTGCTCCGTAGCCAGTGCAGTAGCTGGTGCGGGAGTCAGTGCTGGAGTCTGCGCGGGCCCCGTCACCAGGACCGCGGCGTGAGCGGGAGCCTGAGCGGGAGCCTGAGCGGGAACCTGCGCGGGGCGCGGGCCCCGGGCCCCGTCTCGAGGACAGCAGCGTGCGCTGGATGCTGAGCGGGAGCCTGCGCGCGGGCCCCGGCACCAGGACCGCGGCGTGCGCGGACGCGCGCCCCCCGGGTCAGCCCGGCCGCTAGCCTCGCGCACTACGAGCAGTACAGTAGAATCCGAGAGATTCTGTATTCTGGCTGCCAGGAGGCCAGGAGCGCAGGAGGTGGAGCATTGATCGGTGGAGCACTGCGCGGAGTCATCCCCCTCCCCCGGGGCGGGGGGTGGCTGACGGTGATCGTGCGCGAGACAGCCTCCCGCCGCGCCCCGCGCAGCGCCGGCGCCTCTAGCAGGTGGCGCCACAGGCCGCCGGCCGGCGAACAACTGAAGACCGCTTCCACAACAAACCGCAAAGCACTGACCAGCCTCCAGTGAAGAACGAACGGGTTCCCCGTTTCCCAAGCCATTCCATGACCTCCCTCCTCGTGGAGGTCAATCAATGACCACGGACTAGCTTTTGAAAATTTATGTCCGAAAGGACTCAGTCCATTTCGGCCGTAGACGTCTACACATCGTCTTAATGCGTCTGTCTATATTCACCACCACATCACTCATCAAGAAACACGGAAAGGTCACAAAGACGACTTCATGTTGCAGTTGGACAAACGACCGTCTCGGTCAGTATTTCGGCTGAAAACTGACGTCATTTAGACGTCAAAATGAAGTCACCAACTTCAATACGACGTATTTGTGAGACCTTATCGTGTTGCTTAGGATTTCAATTCATCCCAGTCCCAAAGTGGAGATGACCAACACCTGTCACCTGTCGTAATCATCACAACGATGCTTGTTCGACTTTAAAACGTTACGTGGTGTTACGTTATTATCGTTTCCGGGTGGCGGGATCCGAGGTCGGTGCCGGTGCGAAAACCTGTGCAAACGTCCCGCGCAATCGTTGAGCTGCAGGGGAGGGCGAGGAGGAAACAGACGCGCTTCGACAACTAACTCTCCCATTCTGCGGGCGCGGCCCCCGATGCGACGTCTGCGGCCTCGTCATGACGTGGGTGGTTATATCGCGAGCCTGTTGTCCCCGGAGCCCATGATCAGCGAGGAGGCGGCCGCGAAGGGCCGCGGCCGCGGCCCGCGGATCGATACGAAGGGCACGCGGACGCTGGCGCCACCTGGCGGGGGGTGCGTCTTTGTGGCGCCGGCGCCCGCGGGCTGGCGCCCTCTCGCGACGGGAGGGCGCAAAAGCAAGCCGCCCCCTGTCTTACCGAGCGACGACGCACCCCAGGCACCAACCCGCGTCCACCTCCTGCCGCCGTTGTGATCCCGAGAACAGATTTGTAAAACGGCCCGTTTGGGAATATTTCCTCTTACCCTCGGCGACACTTTGGCCGCGGGGCGAGTGCCGTGGAGCACCCTTCCCCCGTTGGTCACTTTCACGTTTCCCTCGTGACTTGGGTCGAGGCGAGGGTCGCGGGCACGGCTTTACAACGGGCGAACGATAAATAAAAAGTCCTCATGTGTCTCATCATTGACCGAGCGTTGTGGCAGTGGATTAATGTTATACTCTGATAAAAGTTTGGTCAAAATTTTTGCTTGTTTTCAAGGCTTTATTATTTTAGAAAATCAGTTTTTGTTTTCTCTCTGGTGTTTATATAACTGGAAGTGATCGAGGGAGTCTCTCGTCAGATTCTACTCTAGCCAAAGTACCTTTTTCGACTTTTTGGTGTAGAAAAATGGAATGGAGTCTGTTGTCTACATTTTTTATCTCAAAATTGGACGGGCTAACGTTTCGTTATCCTCAGAAATTCACGTCGTGGATTTAATACGGACTGTACAAAGTATAATTGCCACACCGCAGAGGGATTCTTTGTATTTTTCTTTAGAGAGGTGGGATGAGTAGTGGGGTGGGTTGCTGCTTCCTTGGAGAAGGGTATATAAGACGGTGCGCCGAGACGAGGGTGGCGGGGTGCCAGTGCAAGGACCGGGCTGGGGGGTCGTGACCCCGCGGGGCCGCGGGCCGCGCGCCCACCCCGTCCCCGAGTGCAGGAGGGTCGGCGCGGGTCGGCCGGCGCTCGATGGGTATCAGCACAAAAGCGTACCTCCTGCGGCTCGTGCCCTCCGGGTTACGACAAGAGCAGTTCGGCCCTTTTCTAAGGGAGCGGACTGTCCTTTCCATCGACCCGCACGAGCCCCGCCCTCCACCCCGCGCCC